ATCTAGTCATTTATTATAGGAGAGCAAAGAGGGCCGGATCCGCTGGCACTGAGTTTTACTCATTTTGATTCCTTCCATCGATCCCAGTCAAACAGACTGGAGGTGAAATTCAAGAGTGATTGACGCGGCAGGAGTCTCAATCTAATGTGTGCCGCATGCCAGTGCAGGCGTCACTGTGGTCAAGAGCAATGGAGCAGCATGTTTTTGGGGTCGATATATACAGAGGGGGGGGGGCAGCACGTAATGGGGGTGTTTCGGAGTCAAGCAAAGTTTTATCAGTGGCCCTGATAAGGCAATATCACTTGTCTGAACAACTCCTTCCACTGAAACTTCGTTGGTTTATGGCCGAAAATAACTTAGTCAGGTCAGGAAAATCGGGGAATAAGCATGAAAGAAACGGCGAACGCACGGATAGACTTGTTGAAAATCTGAAGGATGATTGCTTGATGAAGCAACTACACCACAGTTGTAATTCAAGGTATTAAAATAGCCCTTTTTAAATGGAAACCCAAAATTTAGTGGTATTAGGACACTAGACGTGGAATAAACTTTAAACCAAGTTTAAACATCATGACGTATTACTTTTCCTGCAGCTAAGGTCAGCATTCGAATATACTAGTGTCTTTCATCGGAGAATACGTAAGCAATTTATATTATTAGCAATCATGTTAAGGAAGATCTGTGGGCAGTATAACTGAACACAAATCAGTTTTCAATGGGGAAGCCTTGTTAGGTTTATGATATTCCAAAGACTAAGTTCAACCCATACCATAGAAGAGTAGTAGATTCAGATTACGGGGCGTCTATTCAGCATGCGTCATTGTACTTGGTTAGTAAGTTGTCGATAAAAACGCAGGTTGACTACTATCACCTACACGCATCGTGTAGCTCACGCTATGGCAGTGTGATCCGTACATAAAAGAGCATCAGCAACGGTGGCCGGATTCACCGGATTGACCAGGTCACAAGTCCCATGCTCAATGGGGAGGAGTCATCCGCCGACTGCAGTGCAAATGTGAAGGACGCAGCTACCAGGTTTGGGCAAGCGATTCTATAGCGTCAACGGCTCATAACGGGACATACAGTACTAATAGAAGCCATACAAATTAGCAAATAGGACTATCGTCAACTAGGGGATACCGCCCTAATTAAGTAGAAAAGACCGCGCGACGATGATATTTGTAAAAGGTCATTTAGACTTGTGGTGGGCCTAAGAGCATTCGTCTACCGACTGCTTAAAAGTTCACGTATGAAAGTAAGAAAACATTTTAAAGAACGTCAAAGACTACCAGAGATTATGGGGCGGGGGGGGAAAAAAAACACCCCAAAAATGAGGTAAAAAGGAAGAACTATAAGAGGCATTACGTGAGGATCAACTTCATCGCCTGCAACAGACGTCTTCGGGGTAGCCGACACCGAATTCTGGAGGCCGGAAGCAGACAGGGGATCAAACTCGGGGTTCTTTCCAACAGTTTCGGCCTAAAGGTGAGGGCGGCGAGATGGAAACTTTGGTCACGAGGGGAAAAAACTGCATTTGTTTTTTACCATACCTCTGAAAATTAGTAGCTTCTGCTTCGATAGCTGTCAATACTGACTCTAAAGAGGCTGGTTTAGAGACTACGACGTTAAAAAGCGGAAGCGGGCATGCTCAGGAAAAGCGAACATCGGCTGGTGATAATCGACAGTGAAAGAGTATCAACAACTTGGATCATTATAAGTGTAAAGAGAGAATATACATTTCCCTAATTGTCTAAAATAAAACGCGTTCGAGATGAAAAGCCGTACTGACTCACAAGTTCTAGGTATTCGCAAAAGAGTTAAACACTAACCTCGGTGACTGCCACACCGTTGTCCTGTTTGGCATTCAAGTGAACTTCTGAATTCATCATACAATTGTCCAGTTTGTCAACCAAATTATTTACATGATCGCGAAGACGC